CAGTGTAAGTAAGCAGTGTAATGTAAGTGAGCAGTGTAAGTAAGCAGTGTAATGTGAGTAGTGTAATGTAAGTGAGCAGTGTAAGTAAGCAGTGTAATGTAAGTGAGCAGTGTGTGTAATGTAAGGGAGCAGTGTAAGTTAATGTAAGGGAGTAATGTAATATAAGTGAGTAATGTGATATAAGTGAGTAATGTGATATAAGTGAGTAATGTGATATAAGTGAGTAATGTGATATAAGTGAGTAATGTGATATAAGTGAGTAATGTGATATAAGTGAGTAATGTGATATAAGTGAGTAATGTGATATAAGTGAGTAATGTGATATAAGTGAGTAATGTGATATAAGTGAGCAGTGTAATACAAATGAGCTGTGTAATATAAGTGAGTAATGTTGTAAATGAGCAGTGCAATATAAGTGAGTTGTGTAAATAGTGATTTATGGGACTTCAATTATTTCTTATTAAACTGAAATTGAAGTAAAAAGTTTTTTGGAAAACCACATCCTGGCTTCAGTCTTCATTTTCTGCTGAATTGTGTTAACACGCATATAGAAACATAAGAAGAGCAAGAGATTGATTGTTAGAGTCAGTTTATTTTTAATTAATACTATAGTAGTTCAGTTTCCTTTACATCTTTAACTAGCCGTTAATTTATCAATTGAATGGGTGACCTATCCTCATTAATCATGGAAACATTTATTTGCATGATTATTTATTTGCGTTATTATTTATTACGTTAATCACTGAACACATGCAGACACACTTTTGGAAGAGGTCTAGTGTCCTTGTGTAATTCAGCCTGAGGGTGGCACTGTAATGTTGACTGACAGGCTATAAATCCACTTGAGCATAAAATGTTATATGTGTTTGAATGTTGACTTGAAATGTTAGGAATTGGAGAGAGGAAAATGAAGCCATGTCAAGTCAACAAACACAAAACAAACACAACAGAATGGTTTACAGGCTATTCATACGAGCACATTTAAACGAAAGGATTTACACTTTCACTAAACTGGTAAACTACTCCACACAGCCCCCTACCCACTGTTAAAGAAGAACTGGTTTACTAGTTGCTAAACTGATGCAGACTAAACTAAAGTCAAATGTGAGATTTTAATATATCCATCTCACTAGAAAGTTCAAAAGATATTGGTTGCAAAATGCTACTGAAATACATTTACGAGTTAAATGTAGGATTGATTATGCTTATATAAAAGGTCTATGGTGGATTAAGTGGATTAATGTTTTGCCCATACATAACCCCACAACAGTATCAGAAATGTCCAGCCATGACACTTTGTAGCTCCAAAACTGATCAGGAGCAGTAACTAACACAATTAAGGCGCCATCACGTGACCACCACTTTTTACAGTGTCAGGTTTTTCTTCAGTATGTATTTGTTGCTTTCGTTTCAAGTAGGTTGCTTTGGAAATAGGTTTACGGACATGAAATCTCTTGTGCGATCTTAAATTGCACAGCCATTTAAATCTCTTTTTACACAAAGAACACAAATAGGGTCTCTTGTCTGCATGACTTTTCAGGTGTATCTCTAAGTGTGATGGCAAAATAAATTTTTTATTACACTGATCACAATTAAACGGCCTTAGTCTCGAGTGAATGCGCAGATGACTTTTGAAATTGCTTGTTTTTGCAAACTTCTTGCCACATTCAGAACACTGGGATTTCTCTCCAAAATGAGTTTGCAAATGACTTTTCAGCTGTCTTAGATAGGCGAAACTTTTCTCACACTGAACACACATGTAAGGCCGGTCTCCAGTGTGAAGCCTCATGTGAGCCGTAAGGTTTCCTTTAAGTGCGAAACTTTTACCACAAGGACAGGAGAACGGCTTTTCTCCAGTGTGAATTCGCATGTGAATCTGAAGTTTAGATTTGCTTTCGCAAATCCTTCCACAGTGATGGCACGTAAAAGGCTTCTCATTGGTGTGAACACTTCTCACGTGACCATTAAGAAGTCCTTTATATCTGAAACTCATTCCACACTGATGGCAGCTGAAGGGCTTTTCTCCAGTGTGAAGTCTCATGTGATAATTAAGGAGACCTTTATGTATGAAACTCTTTCCACACTGAGGGCAAGAGAAAGGCTTTTCTCCAGTGTGAACTTGAATGTGAATCTTAAGGTTTGATTTGCTTTCACAAATCCTTCCACAGTAATGGCACACGAAAGGCTTCTCCTCGGTGTGAATGTATCTTATGTGACGACTAAGTTGTCCTTCAAGAATGAAACTCTTTCCACACTGAAGGCAGGTGAAAGGCCTTTCTCCAGTGTGAAGTCTCATGTGGTAATTAAGGGATGTTTCGTGTTTTAGACACTTTCCACATTGATGGCACTTGAAAGGCTTTTCCTCGATGTGACATCTCATATGTGCCTTTACGTTGTTTTTGATTTGGAACCCCTTTCCACATTGCTGGCACTTGAAGGGCTTCTCTCCAGAGTGAATTATCACATGCCTGTTAAGGCGTTCTATGTCTTTGAAACTTTTTCCACACTGATGACAAATAAAATGGCTCTCTCTTAAGTGAATTCTCTTGTGTAAATTAAGGGTTACTTTATGTATGAAACTCTTTCCACACTGATCGCATTTGAAAGGTCTTTCTCCAGTGTGAATCCTCATGTGATCCTTTAAGGTCTTGCTTCGTATGTAACTCTTTCCACACTGATCACACTTAAAAGGCCTTTCTCCAGTGTGAATCCTCATGTGATCCTTTAAGGTCTTGCTTCGTATGTAACTCTTTCCACACTGATCACACTTAAAAGGCCTTTCTCCAGTGTGAATCCTCATGTGATCCTTTAAGGTCTTGCTTCGTATGTAACTCTTTCCACACTGATCACACTTAAAAGGCCTTTCTCCAGTGTGAATCCTCATGTGATCCTTTAAGGTCTTGCTTCGTATGTAACTCTTTCCACACTGATCACACTTAAAAGGCCTTTCTCCAGTGTGAATCCTCATGTGATCCTTTAAGGTCTTGCTTCGTGTGTAACTCTTTCCACACTGATCACATGTGAAAGGCTTCTCTCCGGTGTGAATTCTCATGTGGTTTTTAAGGCTTCCGTTCGTAGTGAAAATGTTCCCACACTGTTGGCAGGTGAAAGGGCACTGTACATTGTGCATTAACTCATGTTTTTTAAGGCTTTTCTCATAAGTGAAATTCCTGCCACATTGAGGGCAGATGTAACAGTTTTTAAAACTTTTCTTTCGAGATTTTTTTTGAGAGGGCTCCTTTTCAGTCTGCGAGCAAATTTTTTCTCCGTGATGTTTATCGTATGGATCTTCCTCTTCCATTTCATACAGTTCTTGACTTTCCACTTTCATCACCACCAGGTCTAAGGTGGAAAAAAGAAAAATACAAGTTAACTCAGTTAAATGGCACAAAGTAACTGACATCAAACTGCTAGATTTATTCAATGTACTAAAGGCTAATTCTTCCATTGTCATATTAATCTAGATACCTGCAACAGTTATTTTATGATCATTTAGATCACTGATGAAAGGATTTTTGGATTCTAAATACACTGCCATTACTTGTAAGCATAATGTGCTATTATAAAATCAAATAACCCTTTTTTATTATAAAGCTAAAGTGGTCTAAAGCATGTAAATCAGTGTTGGGGAGTAACTAGTTACATGTAATGGAATTACGTAATTTAATTACAAAATAAATGTAACTGAAATCTGTTACAGTTACTGACAAAAAATTTTTTTTAATTAAATTACAGTTACTTATGAAAATGTTAACGATTACAAAGGGGGATACAGCTGATTTTTTTCACTCGCAAACACCCACATACCGATTTAATTGACTTCTTTCATAAATTGCATTGACTGCTCTAAAATATGACACACCAATGTTTCAGGATTTTAGGACACATGCTTATTCAATAATTGTTTTATTTCCTATTTGGGCTTATGCATATGCTTTATTTTTTAAGATTAACTGTTTTTTTTTTTTCAAAGCATTGTTAAATGTCAGCGTTTCTTTTCATAGCTATGCAAATTTCAAAGATTTGATTTCAAAAACAGTATCATAGCTATTAAACTATTTTCTTGTAATGATTTTAAATCTGTATTTAACCTCAGAGCGATCTCAAAGTAAAACGAGGTGCTAAAGTCCGATTTTGTGGTGGCTGTGCTTTCAATTCAATTATTATACTCTTAATTCAAGTGATGAAGGATTTTGAAAGTCTGACAGTAATCAGTGTTGAGTCCTACTGTAAGGTTAACTCTGCCTGCTTTAAATGTTTGAAAATGATTAACAGTTGAAAACAGACATTTAGAAAAGTAATCAAAAAGTAGTCAAATGTAATCAGTTACATTACTTTAATAAAGTAATTGAAATAGTTACACTACTTATTACTTTTTAAATAGGGTAACTTGTAATCTGTAACCTATTACATTTCCAAAGTAACCTTCCCAACGCTGATGTAAATTTACATATCTCTTGTACATCATGTATGTAAACCCATATTCCAATGTCTGTGGTGAATGATATGAATCACTCATTGATATTCATTAAGCAGTCTGATTTCAAAGCTGTATTTAGTTGATGACAAACCAATTTGACTTGTAAGGCATAAGAGTTAATTCTGCTCAGACAACAAGTGCAATATGACAACACATTACCTAAGCTATGCACTTTTAAGAAAAAAAAATTTTTCTAAAAGGCACCAGATTAAGGTTCTTCATCTTGCAGCAATACCTGTCATGAAAACTCTTGTTATAAGGTTCCATTCCTTTTAAATAATAGTTTAGTTTTATTAATATTAGTTTTTATTTATTAATATTATGAGTTTTTTTACCCCTCTATCTGCCTGGTCTAAGGCCGTTTATACATTACATCCTCTTATGTTTAAAAAAAAAAAAAAAGACAGCAAGTTATGTCAATTATGCTTTTTTATTGACAGGAAATTATAGCAAAAATGACAATGCTCTAAAAAGTCATTACAAGAAAGCATAAAAATTACACTTGAATGTAAATTTAAGACTGAGTAAATAAGTAAATGAAATATAACAGAACAGATAGACACACAAATACAAATAGAAACAAAGGCTAAGTTCCAATTAAATATTTTTCCAGTTTCCTGTGATGTCTTCACATCCATCATTATGTGTATTTTTGTAAAAATGAGTGGCAGTTGATCTTTGCAGATGATGAGTATGTGGGGTGTGACAGCATCTGTCTGGGTAGAAATACACAGTTGACTTTAGAATCACACTCTTCTAGTTGTTCAAGTAAAAGAAATTATGTCTCACAAACAATATGGACCATCAATTCTGTATCTCTCACTTACCTGCTTAGCGGAGAATAGGAGAGAAGTATCATCAACTGAACAGAGCATGACACACTTACATGTGCTGTTAAAAAAAACTAAGAAAAAAGGACAGCACGATGAAACAAGTTACAATTTGAAAATGAACATTTAAAGATATTTTGAAAAGGATATCAAGTACCTGCTCAGAGCATGTTGACAGTCTTGTTTAGCTGGATGGCTGAACTCCAGAAAATCGATAATGAGGTGGCTTTGAAATCATTTTTTTTTCTAAACATAATTAACCATTTCAGCATAAAATGGTTCTCCAAGACGATATGTTTCTAAATAGAACTATTACTATTTGTAAAGAACCTTTAAATAATTTTTTTAAAGGGGTCATATGATGCTATCGACTGCTGTTCCTGAAACCACGCCTTCTTTCTTTGCATGCACATTTGGGCCGCATTATGCTAATATTTCCACATCATGACGTAGGTATGTGGGGGCGTGTTAGAACGAGCCGTTTTAGGTAGGCGTGGCTGACTCTGAACTTTTATAAAGAATATCTCTTTGGATTTGAGACTTTAGTCTTTGCAACTTTACAGATCTTCTTTATGCACCAAGAGCTTGTAACACTCCAAAGAGAAAGGAAAAATTGAAATTGCATCATATGACCACTTTAAGAGTATTAACATAATACATTATATGGTAATTTTCCTGTCACCCCTCATGTTAGAAATTCCCCTAAAGAAAACAAAAGTTCAGCCAGCTGTGTACAGTAGACACAACCTGTAACAGTAGTAACTTATTTAGTAACTTATCTTTACATGTAGCTACACAAATGAAGCTGAAGTACATTAAACTGTGTTATGTTAAATATATATTTGGCATTATGACCATTTAAATGATTGCAACATTTTTTCAAATTTATCATTTATTTTTTTAAAGGCCAACATTTTAAAAAACAAATGACAAATAAACCAGTAACTAATAAACCAACCTGTGTCATCCTCTGCATCTTCATTTTTCACTCTGAATGTTTCTGAAATGCTCACGTCTTCAATCTCCTCTTTAATAAATGCCATCTTGATAATAGTGTCACATGGATTTCAGATATTCGCAGTTTCTTGTTCCTGTATGTTTGGACATGTTGTCTTGTTTAATATGAGGAAAACAATTAACAGAAAGAAATACAAATCCGAATCTAATGTTATTTACATATGAATGAACGCGCTTTACTCAAACAAATAACACTCCTAAATATTGGGCCATTTACGAGACAAACTGTCAGGGTACGTGTAACGCCGTAGTTCAGTTTTCAGACACAAAAATATAATAATAAAAAGGCTGTAATGTAATTAAATAATTTCTGATGTCAAGATTTTGAAGATTAAAACTGAATGACAGGAGAGAACACGGTATTTGCCTATTAACTGAAAACGCAACTGTAAAGCGTTACACGGCACCTCACATAATCCATTCATTTCACATTACTTGTAAAATCCACACATCGATTGATCGATTCGTATCGATTTCAACACCTCAAACACTTGAGCGTGATAAAACCCAAACCTTTGTTGAGCCAGAGGAGAGCGGTCCAGCCATGTGATGTCACTGACAGATCAAAATAAAAGTCCCGTTCACACGCTGCCTAAAATCATAGACAGTGCATGAAAACATAACAAAAAAACATACCAATTAAATTTCAAAGAAATTTAGAGTAAAATTCAAAGTGTACGCTGGGTAAAATACATATTTAAAACATTTTGTCCACTAATGTGCTGAAAAAAAAAACTACCAATAAAAGAGTGAGTAGCCTACAGCATCTGAAATGCAAGATTCTGTCTAACTGCAAAAAAAAACAAACAAAAAAAAAACGAATGTTTAGGTTCAGAAACCATGCACAGTTACAGAAACTTTATTTATCAATAAATTATCTTCATGCTGCGATTCAGGTTTGGTCTAAACTTAAAGGCAATAGAACACACATTTTTATAGCCTATCACAACATTGAATGTCCAAATTTGTTTTTGTTTTTTTTTTCTCATTCATGCCATGTTTGCAGTTCCACTAACCATTATTCCAGTTTATGGTTAAAAAAAAGTTCATGTTCTTGTTTATTGTAAACGTCTGACTTCTTTTTCTGACTGACCAGATGAGTCCACATACGTACAGTTTTCCAGTGGTGGAAGAAGTACCCTACCTGAAAACCACACTTTAGTAAAAGCAGATATCTTACCAGAAAATGACTTTGGTAGAAGTTGAAGTCACCGTTTAGAATATTACTTCAGTAAAAGTTTTAAAGTATGTGATATTTATTGTAGCAGTATGAAATGTAAACTTAAATATTGAAAGTACATGTAAACGCAAAATGGAAAAGAAGCAAATAAACATATATATAAAAAAATGTTTATACACAGATTGAGCAGCAAACTGTTTAGTTTTAACTCTTTCTTCCATTTTGTTTCTTTGGGTAATCATAAGAGGCACTTCAACAGACATATTGTGTCTAAAATGTAAGTTACTTGAACTTACTTAAAGGGGTCATATGATGCTGCTAAAAATAACATTATTTTGTGTATTTGGTGTAATGAAATGTGTTTATGCGGTTTAAGGTTCAAAAAACACATTATTTTCTACATACTGTACATTATTGTTTCTTCTCTATGCCCCGCCTTTCTGAAACGCGTCGATTTTTACAAAGCTCGTCGGTCTGAAAAGCGAGATGTGCTCTGATTGGCCAGCTATCCAGTGCGTTGTGATTGGCCGAATACCTCAAGCGTGTGACGTAAATGTTACACCCCTTACCATACTGTGATGCCATGTCCCGGCCGGAGCGATGATTCAAAAACATGAAAACCCATTATAAACGAGGCATTCGTTGCATCCAGTGGGGACATAATTATGGATTATAATGACTTATAATGTATTTTTACGCGTTGC